AGAGAGAGAGAGAGAGAGAGAGAGAGAGAGAGAGAGAGAGAGAGAGAGAGATGTGTTGACGGTAAGACGGTATTAATTTTATAGGACACCAATTTGTCAAGAAAGCGGTTTTTTGTTTTTGTTATCGGCAATAACGAAATTTATTTTTCATCTTTTTAACTTTTGCAAGACTTCAGAGGAGAAAATAAGAAGAGGGGAGACAACTCCTTCGACTAGGTGACAAGATTACTAGAATTATATCCCTTGCAAAAATGCAAGATGGCTGCCTAACAGCAGTGTAAACAATCATGGACGTTATGTTCTAGTGGGTGATTTTAGCTTCTGTTTGTTCCATTATTCACCTAAGCAAATCAAAGAATACATTTCCAAAGGAAAAAAAGCAGCTTAAATCTATTAAGTGTATGTTGTAGATCCTAATTCCGTAAATTTGTGTTCCAAACACCTAAAATTAAAATCGTTTGTCGTGTCTGTTCGTACATTCGTACATTTACTAATCTTATCTAGGATTCTAGGCCTAAAAGTCCAGCCGGCGATTTTGTAGTTTCGTTCGTTAAAGTCAAGAGTAGGGGGGTTTCAGGAGGGCTTGCCCCCTGACCTAATAAAAATATGGAGGTGGGGGGGAGGGGGTTCTGGGGGGCATGCCCCCCTGAATTTTATCCTAATTTGATGTTTTGCAGTTAGGTTGCATCCCTGCTCTTTGTGTAGCCTAATTCAAAGAAAGTGGCTATTCTCACCCGCCCGGAAGTTCTCGCAAGATCAACTCCTCCCCTCTTCTCTCTCTCTCTGTCTCTTTCTGAATACTGTCTATCGGTGTGGACGATCAAATTGACCAAAACAAAGTTTAAAAAATGATGTTAAAACACAAAAGTAAATTAATTTGGTTGTCTACAAAGATGCTATGGCTATTTAACTTTTCGAATCGAGCGGAACTACACGGGTCGCCATTTTGTTTTGCCCGGAAATTCTCGCGGTACTCTTCTCTTTCTTTCTCTCTCTCTCTCCACTGCCCACAGACAAAATTGTACGCTTTTAGTAGGCTACAGTTGTAATGGAACGTTTGTTCATGGCACAGAATTCTACAATTTTTCTGTTATCACAGTGTAGAATTCTGTGGTTTAGGGTGAACGCAAAATTTGGTGAACGCGCACAGGGTGAGAATAGCCACAAGACTCGCCTGCACTATTCTCACTCCGGGTGAGAATAGAGGTGGCCAATTAAAATAGTATTTGGTTTTCAAGACTTCTGGATTTCTTCTCTGGATGTAAACAAATGGATCGTGGACTTAAACGAACGGAACTACAAGATCACCGTCCAGCCAACAGTCCTATAGTGCTGTCTATAGCCTACATGGCATGCCCTGCCTTTTTTTAAAACTTGCCCAGCCGTCTGTGTCTCTTGACCTATGCATGAATTTATTGATGTCCCTATCAATGCTGTTTGAATTTTAAGTCATGACACTTGTCAATTTCATGAACTAGATCTAGGCAGAACCAATTTCAGAATTTGATGCGTTTCTAAAAGGTACAAAGGAACGACTGCATACTTCATCGACATTATGAATGCAAAATACAAGATGTCTGGTACAGTACCACAAAGTCTTGGACGGCCTGTTGGAGTTCTTCCTCTTGGTCCAAGACCAGCAATACCACCGGGGCAAAAGAAAAGCAAAAGGTAAATACTAGATCTAGCAGTCTAGGCTATAGTATTTCATTCTGTCTGTCCATGCTAGCCTAAAAAAAGCTGTTTTCCTGTACAGTTCAATAAAAAGAATAAAAATATGATTTTGAATACTCTGCAATGAAATGCAATTATTTCTCGCACATGCTATTAAACTATTATATAGACCTATAAATACAATCGAACCTGCTATGACGGCCACCTGTATAATACGACCACCTGTATAATATGGCCACCTGTACAAACGGCCACTTTCCATTTCCCCCCTATCGGTTTTTCTATATAATTTAACATGTAAAACGGTCACCTGTCCAATGTGGCTGCGGCCACGTACCTTATATTATCAACCCACTGTCAAATTTACCTGCCTGAGGTGGCCAGGCTTGGTCACTCATTGCCCGATGCTTTGTCATAAATTTTTTAATTGGCCCCTGATGCTGTGGATGGGTCATCATAATCCTTTCACATGTCGTTATTGTTCGTCCCTACAATGAATGTTTACCCAAGTTGACCAATGGGTAACACCTACATTTTCCACTGCTGGTGAGGGAAGGGGGTGATCCATCATTACCTATGCCCCGCCTTCAACTCATGCACTAATCGTATGTGAGGTGACTGGTCACTGTTTTGTTTATATCTGATCTATAGCAAAGTGACAATGGACATTCACGTGAACTAACGACAAAAGCCTCGCTCATTCTCCGAGTGGTGGCAACCTGTGTGTTTGTTTTACCATGGCACTCAGTCTTCATCGTCTTACATAATATTTTTTTTATTGATGACTTACCAGTTGAAAGGATAAGCTGTTTGGGTCGAGGAAGGATGAGTAGTGTTGGTGAGTAGGGACGGAGTTAAAGAAGGATGAGAAGACAATTCAATCCACACAAAAAACTGACCAAGATCCTGCATTACACAGTCATTTTTATAATCACTTTGTTCAGTAGTGTGGTCCCCAATTTTTGAAATTTTAATAGGACCCATAATTTAATACTATAAACTGAATGATGTTAGCTGGATTCACAATTTTGTTTTGTTGGTCCAGAGGTAGGCCTATGGTGTTCCTGAATCATGTAAACGGTAGTGGGATAACTGACAATGACCAAAAATTTCCTTTTGTTCTCTAAAGTTTTCTCTTTTCGCTTCCTTTCTAATTTTGTTCTGTCATCTGCTTTGAGCTCTGCTTTTTCACCTCATCCTCTTTGAGCTCCCCTCTTCTTTACTCCAGACTCTTTTTACAGCTGCTACTCCTGGCTCTTTAATTTACTGCCTTTCAGCTTCATTCCTGGTCTGAAGGTAGGTAAGATTGAACACCTAGCCCTCTCGACTGAAGTCACAAAATTTCAGAGGTCTCGTGTGCGACTTGCACACGTTCCTTTGGTGATCCTTAAATCATTAAGAGTGGGCTCTGCCACTCGCACAAAATTTGAAATTAATTAAATAAAACTGAAAGTACTCTAGTCAGTATGAAAAACAAATAGAGTACCTTTGAAATCAGAATGTGGCTGCCTGAAGGCAAGGAGCCCCCATCATCATCTTATATATAACCTTTTTCACCCTGCATCAAGGTATAGGCCACAAAGTCTGGTAATTAATTGAATTTTGCTTATTTTGTACTCTTTAGTAGTGAAAAAAGACAAATCAAGAGAATGCTTTCCACAGATACTGCACATGAATGTTCTTTTATATTCCACAGCTATGAAAGAAGACAAGTCAAGAGAACTCCTTCAACTGGGTCGATAACATCTTTGAACAGTGTTCGGTCGGTGCAATCTGATGTGAGCACAAGTTACAGCAAAAGAAGTTCAAAAGGAAAACCAGACAGCAGAGAATGCGAAATGCCACAGAGTTTAAGTGATGATGAAGGTCAAGATGTCAGGTTCATCGACTGTGACAGTGCTCGACCAGTTTCAAACCAGAGCAGAAAGAGCAGTGCCAGAAAAGAGAGAAAAACTTTCACAACTCAAGAAATTGTGAGTATATTGCGCGGTTACATTTTTAGAATATGCTTTTTATTATTAAAAAAAAAATACCAGATAATAATACAAAATTTCTGGATAAGCACCATATGATCCCGCAACAGAGTTGAAGGTTGTGAGTTCATCTGCTTTCTTCCCATACCTAAACCAGGCAAAGATCACAGGGCCCTGAACGGTTACAGAGTTATTACTATGCAGAATGTGTTTGGTAAGGTCCTGGAAAAAGTGATAGCAAGAAGACTATCCAGAGAACTGGAGAGAAAGAATCTCCTCCCAGATGGATTGGGCAGCTATCGTCCTGGAAGGGACACAACCATCAATGCGTCTGTAATGACTTATGGCATCTATGAGGGCTTTCAAGCAAAGGAGGTAACAGCCGTAGCTGCAATCGACCTGGAGAACGCCTACAATAGGGTGGATTATGAGAAGCTAATCCACAAGATGATGGACCTGAATCTGGATCCTTTTCTGGTTAGGTGGGTTGCTGGTGCAATGCTAATGTGGTTAGTTGTGTGATTTCGGGAAAGTAGTCGAGTACGGTAGGCTACCTATTTGACATTGAAGAAAACAAGGGCAGGCCGAGGCGTGAGCCACGGACTGTGGAAGACTGCGTGAGGTGCAGTCGAGGTGCAGAGCAAAGAGTTGTCACGAGAGAGTGCAAGTTGGATTGCTACCAGAGGTGGGTGTGCATAGTTAAATAACAAGCGTGTATAGTTAAACTACAGCTAAAAAGAAAGATAGCATTGAGATGTCGAACATGGATGTCTGATCCCAAGGAGATAGCACCAGGTATCCCTCAGGGCTCACCTTTGTCCCCTCTATTGTTCAACATTTACACAGCGGATCTGGTCAGGGATGATAGTCGCCAGACAGGAAGGACTCTAACCTTTGCTGATGACGTGACAGCCTGTGAGCATGGGCCTGATAGAATGGTATTTGCTCAGAAACTACAACAGCGCCTGAGAACGATTGAAGAGTGGTGCGAGGAGAATGAGGCTGTTCAAAATTCAGCAAAAGCACAAGTGTTGTGGTGCTCGCTCAATAACAGAATAGTGAAGGACCCAACGCCACCAGTGAGGATGAACTATGAGGTCATTGACAGGGGAACAGAACTGAAATACCTTGGTGTCACATTTGACCGCTCATTGTCATTTGGAAAGCACGTAAATAACATAATTTCTAGGGTGAGAAAGGGGATTGTGTAGTCAAAGTGATGGCGAATGCGTTGATGCCACAGAGAATCCTGTTCATTATGATGCAGCTTGTAGTACTGTCTGTGATTGATATGGACTGTGCTTGCTAACTCTGTCAAAAACCCAAATAGAAAAATTGGGGAGGGTTCAAAATGAGGCAATGCATACAGTCCTTGGTTGCCCCAAAGACACTCCAATTGTTTGTCTCAGACACATACTTGGACTCTCCAGTATACGAGTAAGACACAAATTGGCTCAGGCTAAGATGTACCTGAAAGTTATGGAAATGGAAGGCCACCCACTTCACCCAGTGGTCAAGCAGGACAGAGGGACCCGACTAAAGAGAGGTCAATATTGGATGGCCCAGGCAGACGAGTGTATAAAGAAGGTGTGTGAGTTACATGATATGAACGATGGCAGTGAGTGGATTCAAGTGTCACAAGAGGCTGCACACGATTTGACAAGAGTCATCATTGGTTTAAAAAAGGGAGATGTACTGGAGGTGGCAGGAACAGCAGAGTTGGAAGTAAGACAGATTGTCGAGGAAAACTCCAGGCCCCTGGATCCAGTAATATACCCTGATGGTTGCCACCAAACGTGGGGTGAAAAGTGGTTGGGGCTTTGTTGTACATAAAGATGGCCACATAATTAAAAAATCATCTGGTGCATGCAGCAAGACGACTACAAGCACAAGAATGGAGGTAGAGGCAGTGACAAAAGCATTTGAATGACTAAAAGAGAGCTTATGTTCTGCCAGACATGCTGTCCTTGTCACTGACTCTCAAAACATATTGCAGAAGAGTCGATAAGTGGATGCTCAGAAAAGAGTGGCTGCATAGCCTAGAAGAAACCAGACTGAGAAAAATAACATGGTTCTATGCGCCAAGCCATACGGGTGTGATGGGAAATTAACCAACAGACAGACTGGTGAGCAATGCACCTGTCAATACTGACATTAAAATTGACAAAAATGATGACATGAAAGCCCTTGCCACCACACTTGAAGATGAGGAGATTGAGCATCACAATGCGCCAATCTTATAACTTGAAGAACTGAGTGTCTTCAGAGGAAGTGGCAGAACCAGCATGGTACAGGGGATGAAAAGACTGGTTATTAACCAAATGAACACCGGAATGATCAGCAAATGGACTCTGAGGTGGATATTGGAACGAGGAGGGGAGCACGTATGGCAGTGCCCGGAGTTCTATGATGTTGTTCCCAGGATCAAGTAATCAAGCAATCGAGTAATCTTCCCTTACCCATTTACAACTATATTTTAACTCTATTTTTTGACGTGTCTACGCCTCAAACGTCTGAACAAAACTTCAGACTGTGCAAGTTTTCCACTTGGAAGTGTATTTTAGGGAACTTGTTTCTTTGTATTCAATTTACATACAGTTAGTTGGTTGGTGGTTGGCAGATGAGCTGATGTGTTTTGCTCCTTCTCTCCTATCTGACGCCGGTTGTCCTTATCTGTCCTCCTTTTTTTTTGCGTTTGTTACTCTCTATTAACACCTCTAATCTTCGGAACTTTATGACCTTTTTTATTTGCAAGTCCCGTAAAACTCTTACTAAAATTAGACTAAACTTACAGTTAAGGGATTACCCAGTCTTACTTTTTTTCCTTATTCTTTGCAGATGGATTTTTGTCAAGAGACTGATCCTTACAAAGTCTATGAAGTGGATCTTCATGGTACAGACTTGACTCACATTCCAGATCTAGAAAAGTTCAGAAAACTCAGACTACTGGATGCTTCAGGCAACCATATCAAAAAGATTATGGGTTTAGAGCTGAACAAGGTAGGCCCTACAGTTAATTACTCCATTTTTTTTTTTACACCTCCTTCACGTCCTCTGTTCTTGTTCCATTTTCTCACCTCTTGCACTGCCATTGTTGAGATATTGGCAGCAGCTCTACTATCATCATCATCAGTATTTTCATAATTTTATGCATCTTTGTGAACAGTCTTCTTCCCTTTCCTTTTGACACAATGATGGTGATAATGGTGATTCTTATGCTGCTGCTGATGATGATCATAATCATGACGATAATGATGATAAGAAAAGTCTTTCATAGTTTAGTGTGCTTTTCTAGCAAATTAAATAAAGAATTGACTGCATCAAAGCTTAACGTATTATGACCAAATATGTGCCTTTTTTGTCATCATTATCATAATCATCATTGCAGTCATAATCATTATCAACTCTATTGCTATTATCATTATATCTATCTAATGGGAATCCTATTGCCCTGGTTTGCTCATGTTGAAAAGCAAAAGCAGAGCAAAATGGTCAATTTGATATTTTGCATCATACTAACTGTGATTTTTTAATCTTACTAAGGCATGGATTTTGGAAAGCAAAGGCTTTTGAATTCAAGTAGACAGAGTTGTAGTATTGAAAGTAACTGTTTCTGAGAGTGTTTTCTTTTGTTTATTTTATCTGAATTCTAGTTTGCCTATTTTATGACGATATCATCTTACTATTTTTCTTTTCATCCCTTGATCAGGAGCTGAGAGATATTAAACTATATGACAACGAAATTTCCATCATCGACGGTTTGGAGAAGTGAGTAAAACTGCTCTTCATTTTTGTCAGCTTTTCTTATATTTTTCTTGGCTCTGTGACTGCAGCTTGTTTTGTTCAGAAGATTGCTAAATGAGGGGACAGAAGAGCTGTAAATAGATTTTTGATAACTGCACTGAAAACATTTTTTGTTTTATTTTGGTTATCAAGTTAAACCACAAGAATGATAATGAAAATCAAGTGGTTGATAGCAGTAGTTAGAATGCAAAATAGCCTGCAACTCATCAAAAGTACCCTTGTATTTTATCACAGACAATGCCACGTTGTGTGCTTGGAAAAGGAAAAAAAATGACGGCACAAAAATATACATGCATGCTCTGTATTTAAAATTTTCAACAGTATAGTTTTGTAGTGAAATTCTCAAAGTGCATATCAGTACTTTGCTGTGTAATATTGAACGAGGACTGTACATAACAACATCTTAAGTAGAAAACATGTTAAAGACATTTTCTTAAGGTAACGCAGAATGGGCGACTGGTCTTCGACTTCTATATTTTGTTTCAATTGCCAAGTTATCATTTAAACATATTAATTGGGTCTTTTTCAGCTTGAAAGATTTATGCAATCTTCAACTCCAGCACAACAAGATCAGTGTCATTGGTATGTATCGAAAGAATATGTGTAGTGGTTTCTTGTTGTTGTTTTTTTGGTTAACTACTGACTTCACACAATGAGCCTTTTGTTCTTTTTCTTGGCTCAATAATATTTGTGAGGCAGCGTGGTGGAATCAGGCTCTCGTCAATTTTTGGGCATGTAGAGTTATTGGTATCATCTTAAAGCTTGTTCACTTATCTTTATTTAGATGAAAAAATATACATTTACCTTGAATACAAGTTGAGATATTTGCTAAAGAAGGAGGTGGGGGTCACCTGTTTTCAGAGGTAAAATTAGTGAGAAAATGGCCGCCAAAGATTAGTTATTTCCTTAGCTTAAGAGTCCGTGGTAACAGAAAATTTACATTCTTTGTGCCTTTAATCAACGTTTTTCACAAAAATCCACACAGAAATAAGTTTTTTTAATATGCATGAAAGGTGTTGAGCCAAAAAACAAAAATTTGATAAAAATTCACAATCCTGCGGAAAAATGCAAGTTTCTTCACTTTTATTATTTTGACGAGAGCCTGATTCCACCACGCTGCCTCACATTTAAGGTCTGTTTTGTTTTTTAAGTAAGAGGCTTTCCAAAATGTATCTCAAACTGAGCTGTCTCTGCTTCTTCCCTTGATTGATGGAAACATAAGTGAAAATGGTGGGCTTGTTTGTATGTCCTTCATTAAAATGTTGCTAAATGTATAGCAGCAAGTTGCATGATGTTTCATGTCTAGATTTTATTAAAAGCTGCAGGCCCTACTATCGAAAAATATCTTGCTTTGTTTCTATTCCTTTTCAGTTAAGAGATGGCTCTAAAGTTTCAAAAGAGAACACATATCTATTGGCATCCGATAGGTTATTGCTATATGGTGATATATCACTTTTTAAAAATTATTCAATATGCTCACAATAAACGATCCAAGACACTCAATTTCCACACAAATTGTATGATCATACAGTGGCAGATATGCACCTCTAGGAACAACAAAAAAAAGAAAGATATAAAACTAGTTTCTTACTATCTATTATAAGGTTATTGTCGGAATAAACATCAATATGTATTGCTATTGTTTTTTTAACTTACATAACATATATTTTTGATATACATGTATCAATATAACTCTAAAGGTCTGTGATCAATTCCTGCATGTTGTTGTAAAATGCATCTGATGTGATATATGTATTATTGCCAGCTTTACTTTTCTCTTCATATTGAATTTTAAATGTAATTTAAATTCTTTCTATACCTCCGTTTGTTTTTACCATTTCTGTACAGCCAAGAAAAAATTCCCTCTGGGACAATAAAGTATCATCTTATCTTATCTTATCTTATCTTAATCTCCATCTCATGTAAGTCCACTTTTCACATGCAGGAAGAGGATTGGGCAATCTGAAGAAGCTGCAAAGTCTTCGCCTTGACAGCAACAAGATTTCAAAAATTGAAACCCCAGAACTTCTGAGCTGTTCTGCCATAACTGTCTTGGACCTGAGCAATAACAAGCTGGAAACTCTTGCAGTATGTTTGTTGATAAGCATTAATATTTGTGTTTGCTTTTGTCTTTGTTTAGGCTACATGTCTTATGGCAAAAATTTTTTTTACAAATGTTAATATGACGGATAACTGAATTTTAATTGTAAGGGCATCCCAAGGCAGTACCTCAGCATAGAGATGTTAATCTTTGTTTACTTTTCCTGTGACTGAGAACAATGGGTTCATTTAAATTTCATCCCTTAAATTGTTGATTTGAATTACCCTCTTTTTTACATTTTTTGTTGGTTTATTTGCTTGCCCTTAACTATAATACATGTCTCAACTGATATATAAGAGTTTTGAACCCTGGGAATATTACTTTTATTTGAGAAAATGATCTCCAGCAAGCATATGTATATATTTGCTTCAATATTTTTTATAGCTAATCAAGAGAAACAAAAATCATGTGTGACATATAGTTCTTTCCTATCAAATTTAATATAGCTGCTTCATGTTAAAGGTATGAGATTATGTATAAGATCTCTATTTTTACTTCTTCTTCTTGATCACAATGCACCCGAAGTCCAGTATCTATCATATTACAGTGGGCTGTCCTGCTCAGTTCCTCAGCTGATTCAGCTTCTCCTCATATTTTACTTTACATTAGCTCTTGACTACAAAAAAATGTAAAAGACTCCAAAGGAGTCTATTTGAACTTTCTTTTTTAAGAGAATAATAGGTCACTGATCGAAATGTTGGTGCCTTTCGCATGTTTTTGGGTGTGTCTTTAATGATAATAGTGGCACTTCGATGACTTGACTCATTGTGCTTGTTATTGATAATACTGAATATATTTTAAAAGTATACTGCTAAGACTATAAGAGCTGTAAAATAACAGCTCGTCCGTCAATGTCTGACAGTGACCCATACATCTGCAGAGAATATTTCTCCAGTGAAATAGAAAAATTTGAAGAATTAATGGTTGTGGTGACTTGTGGTTTCTGCTGTGACTGATGAGACCAATTATGGCAGAGAAAAGTTTGCCACATTTTTTACATTTACAGGTTCCACTTCCACGTGTGTATGTGCACAGCTTGTGGGTTTTTCTCTTGGTTTCAGCTTTTCTTATTCATGAAGCTTCATATGATTTGGTACACACTGTGACTGTTGCTCTCCAGCTTGGTCTATCAGAAGCAAGCTCTCCCATGTACAAGGATTTATATTGAAGTCCTTCAGAGACATTTTCAGGTTGTCCTTGTAGTGTTTTTTGGGTGCGCCAACCTTATGTTTCCCTGAGGACAGTTCAGAATAGAACACTGCCTTTGGTTTCTGAAATCAAGAGCTGTAACAATGCAGTATTGTATATTTTTATTTCATCCTTTGGCTTCTGCAGTATGAATTGTATTAACTGAAACTTAAAGTTTGAATTAGACTAAGCTTCAAAATAGTTTTCCTTTTAAAGCACATGATTGCCTTCTTGTTCTCTCTCAACAGCCTCTTAGTTATCTACCTAACTTGGAAGAACTGTATGCATCTGGAAACTTGATCGGCAAGATTGGAGATCTGTCTAAATGCAAGAAATTGCAAGAGGTCGACTTGTCAAGGAACAGACTGTTTGATCTTTTAGGTATCGCAAACTTGCCAAATTTAAAAGTGAGTACAAGCGACCACTTTAAGGGATTTTGATCCTATTCTATGGGATTTTTTAATAGTAGGTGTTACAAGATAGTGACTGTCTGTAAGAAGTTCATGAACAAAACAGTGAGATAATATTATATGCAAAAACAGTAGATTTTGGATAAAGGTTGATTGACTTTTTTTTGTTTTCCTCTCTAAATATTTTGTTGGTTTGGTCAAACATTTTGTCGTTTTGGTGGATGGTTGGCAGGTGCTCCTTCTTTCCTATTAAACATCTGTCATCCTTATCTCTCCTCCTTTTTTTATTTGTATGTTACTATCTAGTAAAACCTCTAATCTTTTACACTCATAAGACCTAATTGTGTTGAAAGTACAGTAGTCTCCGCCTAAGATCCCGGTGCTCAGGAGCAAAGAAATGCAGGATCTTAGGCGAACCGGGATCTTAACCAACGATCCCAGGGAAGAATCTATGGGGACCCATGTTAAGGCTTACAATCAGTAAAATGGTCTCCCTTCACCTTAAAATGAACTGACGTGACCCCTTGGTGGGTTTATGACATATGGCGAGCAAAGAGTGGTTAACCTTGATGGCCTGTCACAGTGCATAGTGCCATGAGGCGTGCCATTTTCACTTATTATCCTGAGTCTCAAGATCTACGCTTATTCAGTTGCCCCTCCCCTTTACCTGTCGAAAATTTATAGCTTTCCATCTCTGACCGAGCCCCCCCCCCCCCCCCCTCCCAAAACGCCTTGCTTTGTCGTTACACACCATTACGTCGTGAACACACTAATTAAAATTCAGTCTGTCTAGCAAATTCGGGTGTAGAGACAACTGCAGCAATCAACGCCTACTGCAATGGTCAGGGAAGAGTTCACGGTTCGATGTGATCCCACCTGGAATGAACGTGTAGGCCCTACCCACCCAGCAAGTGATGTAAGTTTAGGGGGAGAGCTCAGGTGTGAGTGCGATGCGTGGGGAAAACAAACGCGTCGGTCAGTTCACACCCCGGTGTGATCCTGTCGGGGGCAAACATTGATATCGCTTCATCCAGTTTTACTACGTGTATGTGATCACATTCCCGATAGTGGCTGATCTTTGACGCGACGGACAGTTTATTGATCTCAACTTTTCACTCTTGCTTGATCGGCTGTGCCCGCCCGGGTTTTTGTTCCGCAAATTATGATCTGAAATGCGGGATCTTAGCTGAATGTAGACCTTCAGAGTGAATCAAAGCGGGATCTTAGGGGTGACTTTTGTATAGTAAAAATTCTGTTTTCTTAAAACAGCGGGATCTTAAGCGAACCGGGATCGTAAGCGGTGGGATCTTAGGCGGAGACTACTGTACTGTGAAACTCACACTAAAACTGAAACTTTTGTCTGTCCCTTTTTCCACAATCATGAATGTTTATTCATTTCTGTAGATTCTTGATGCTTCTCAAAATCAACTGACCTGCTTGAAAAGTGTTGGGAAATTGAGGTACGTAAGTTAGTGTCTGCCTGACTGTGTTTGCTTATCTTCTTATGGTTTGTTTCACTTTTTGGTGTTTAGCTTTTTATGTTCCTTCTTAATCACACTTCAAGTTAAATTCCGTTCAGCTCAGTAATGAAAATTTACACTGATGGTTGTACCACAACATAACATTGCTGTTTATGTAAGCATGTACACTCCAAGAAAAATTAGTTTGAAGTCTAGAGAATATATTGACGTCACTCACTTGATTATTCTTTCATTGATTTTGCTGGTGATTTTTTTGGGGTAATTTATGTACTCTCTGGGTTTTTTCTATTTTTGGTCTCCCTTAAATTATTTCAAAGGTCTGTTCTGAGAAGAAAAAAAAGAAAAAAGAAAGAAATAGATTGATTGTTAATATGTAGACAATATTAATCTCTGAGCATTACATAGCTTTCATTTTATGAATAAAGTCCATTGAGTAATGCATATATATATATATATATATATCGTACCTGGAGACAAAGAACAAAGCTGTACCTCTCTTATGCTATAGTAATTTAAGGGAAATCAGAAAAAAACAACTTGATGTATGATTTGTATTCTAAATATTGAATATTTTTTTTCTTGATAGATGAAACATGAATAATAGATTCTATATTTAGGGGCATCCTACTCAATACTACCATACTAGAGCACCCATCAATCACCCATGGGCCCACTGAGGGAGGTAACTAAAGAGTCTCTAGACCAACAAGCTGTCCGTCTATTGTTCTGAAGTGTCTTGCATTTCAATGATTTGGTGGTGGTTGGGGGGGTGCTCTGGTGTGGTTTGCTCCTTCTTTCCTGTCAAATATCTATCGTCCTTATCTCTCCTCCTTCTTTTTTGTGTATGTTACTCTCTTGAAACACTTCTGTTCTTCCACACTTATATGATGACCTTATTGTGTTGCAAGTGCCGCAGAACTCTTACTAAAACTAAAACTTTCTGTGATTTCAGGTCCCTGGAGGAGCTCAATATCAATGCTAATCGGGTGTCATCTCTCTCATCCTTTGCCAATGTCTTTCCCAAGCTTCAAATTCTATTTGCCTGTGATAACATGATTTCCAGCTGGGATGAAATAGTAAGTACTGACATATATACAGGCAGTGCATACTTGCCTTGGGCTAAAGTGTTTGGCATGTAATTGTAAGGTTGAGTGTTCTAACTTGGACTTTTGCTTTGATTGTTTAGGAAGGTATCTTAATCTATTTCCACCTGTTCACCCTGCCGTGAATAGATAATTGATAATTATAAGAGGCAAAATGTGTAAATGATGCATCACGCCTTACAGACCACGAAGTTGAATGGTTGAGCCGACTATTCCGAGCTCAATTTATCCCAAGCCAACATATTGGGTTTTTTTTGTGTCTGTTGAGCTCATTTTCAAAAGAATTATGTTAACAATAGTAATGATAATAAGATGATAACAGTGATGATAGTAATATTTATAATGAAGAAGAAGAAGAAGAAGAAGAAGAAGAAGAAGAAGGAGGATAATGATTACATCTATGACACTCCTCAAATGTATGAATCGCTATTCCTTTCCTGTAGGAAAGTAAAGTGGGACAGGCTCAGAAGCACATGCCTTTGACTGTGTCCAATGCTACTCTATCTATAATAATAATATTAATAATAATAATAATAATATTGATTATAATAATAATTTAATGACAATACTCT